TTCTGGAATTTCATTTTAAGAATATATCGATACTTGCTTAATGGTATCGATACCCTTGGTATCGATACTACCCTTTAGATATCGATACTCCTTGAATATCTTATCCACTTTTAAGCTTATAGTATCGATACTGTTCAACCAGTATCGATATTGTTCAATCAGTATCGATACTCATACCCAAATATCACTCGTTTTCTCTTTGAAGTATCGATACTGGATAAATAGTACCGATACCCCTTGCCCAGAATTCATCATTTTAATTCGAAAATTCACCAATACCTACTTAAACTTGTCATTTTGAACTCATTTCATGCCATTTAACCCAACTACACTTACTTAAACCATCTTATATTCATATAGCACATCATCATCTTCAATATATCATTATAAATCTTGAAACCAAGAATCTTACTAAATTTCCAACATGTTCTAATTTCTTTTCTAACACTTAATACTTCTTATTCTAACTGATGACAAGTCAATTTTAATCTCAAACTTCACTTACTAACTCTTTCTCACCATTTCAATTAGAAAAGCTATTATATTAAATCCTTCCTAACTTCCTAATCTTTTAGATTTAAGACAACTTAAGCTTTTCTTAAGCTTAAGTATTACCTAAAGAACATAAACCAATCTTAATTTCAATAAATACTCAACTAATATGAAACTCACCTTTCACAAATTGTTCTCACGACAGAAGGAGGAAGAAAGATGAAGAATTCTCTAGAAATCTTTGTTTCTCCCTTCTTAAATCTCCACATGGTTATAATATAACCATAACCAAATTTTTAATTTTTTTCCTTGTCAAATGACTATTTTCCCTTCTATTCATTCTCTTTGCTATTCAGTCCTACATGAAAATATTCCACTTAAGTCTTTAAACTTTTTAATTTATTTAATTTAGTCACTGAATTCTAAAATTTTATAATTTGATCACTAATCCGATTTTTGGGATGTTACAATTGATCTGCTTGAACCCATAGGATGACCTTTCTAAGCCTATGATAATACTTAATGAAATAATTGAGAGCTCCACACTCATATCACCCTTGGTTCTTTTGCCAACACCCCTATGAATACCTTCTTTTATAGAAATTACATTCAGATATAGATGAAACTCCAATCGACCCTCCCGAACTGGCTATGAAGATAGTGTTAAGGTGTCGTCTTTTCTACCCCGATGTGATTATCCGTCGAGACCTACAATAGGAAACAAAATTTGAATTTCTTGATTCTCTAAAATTCTTCTCCCTCTTAGAGGTTGATTGTGAGACTTTTAATGGGTATGCCACCCTCTTTTTTTCGACACTAGACTCTTCTATCAATATTCTCTTCATGTTTAAGCCCTTTCAATGGTCTTTGCTTGCCTAGTCAGCTCTGAAAATATATTTGAAGTATCCACTGCTAACTAGGTATAAATATCAAGATGAAGTCTCTCCAAAACTCTAAAGGCATTAACTTTTGTAGAGACTAGCTTTGGAGCATATCAGCTTAGTTGGATGAAGTTTCTCTCATACTCAAAATAATCATGTTGCCTTGGACAAACTAGGAACATTGAATCCATAAATCATACACGTGAGCTTCCCCAATATATTTTTGTCCGAACTCGTTCAGAAAAAGTTCCTATGTCGATTATTCATGGTTGTAGAGTCATCTCAACTATTTCCCACTAATCAATGATATCCCCTTGAGAAGGGAGATTGTACATTTCAAATTTCCCTCTAGAGTAAGATTTAACTGCCTCAAAGTCCTTTATGTTTCACGCAACCACTGGTCTACCATCATAGGTTCATCCTTACTAGACCCACATAACTTTATGATTTTGTACCTCCTAAGATGTTCTATTGGTATTTAAGGTGTTAATCAAAGGAGAGTGAGCAAAAGGTACATGTTGTACCTGTGGAATAACACAGTTCTTCTCAGGAAAACATTTAAGTTTTGTAAGTACGATGTTTTAACTACACATGTGTCTTTCTTAAGTCCCGTTTCCCCAAAATATGGAACAAACTCATATTCTAAGTCATTTGCAAGTAATGCTTGATTTTCATCTCAAGCCTCTTGGCTCCTGTCAGAATCACTATCCATCTTTTTACCTCTACAATAATAAGAATAGAGTAAAAATACCATTACAGTCTCAAACATAAAAAAGTACATCCAAGTCTAGGGCTTGTATCCAAGTAGCCTCACTTACGATTTACATATGTCCTAAGACTGACTAAACCTGACACTCTGATATCAATAAATATAACACTCGACCCATATCAGGTTACGAGTGTGACTTTAAAAGAATCTCAATATTTTTATTATATCATCATGCATATACCATTGAGAAGAAATAAACATATTAATCCAAAAATGAGGAGCGGTGGTTGCACGCTTAACATAGATTTTCAATTTTACAAAATATGGAGCATCGTTTACAATAATTCTTTATAAGAGTTCAAAAAGATAACCCCAACACACATTATATGATAAAATAGAATACATTGACCCACACTTCAAGATATACATAGATATATTAAGCCCAACAAAAGAATCTAGTACTATACTCTGTAAGCTGGATTGGGATTCCACGGTGATAGCGCTCCTAGGGTGCGTGTCTACTCCTATTTACCTGAGGTGAAAACATTAAAAAAAAGAGCTACTAGAGCCAGTAATAAACAAATATACTATGAGAATTCACATAATCACTACAACAAAACATGTTTTTTGCGACATTTTTTCAGTCATATAGCGACATTTTTAACCACCGCTAAAAACCTTTGTTATGCATAAACAAATACTGTAAAAAGTGCTGCTGAAACAAACGTCGCAAAAGGTAGATGTGTTTTTCGTCCATAAATGCCGCTAAAGATTATGTTTTTAGTGACGTTTTTTACAAACGTCGCTAAAGGTAATGATATTTAGCGGCGTTTGTAAAAACGCCGCTATTGACTATGTATATAGTAGCGTTTGTTCCAAAAAATGCCGCTAAATGTTATGTCATATAGTGGCATTTTTTAATGTAAAACGCTGCTATTGATTATGTATATAGTGGCATTTTCTGTATAAATGTCATAAAAGATATAGAACTTTAGTGGCGTTTTTCAAAAATACTGATATTGACTATGTATTTAATGGTGTTTTTTATACAAACGCTCAAATTAAAACTAATTTTTCAAATGTTGTTTTCTACTCTTTTGTTACCCAAATTTAACTTGCAGCATTGTCCAATAAACTTGACATCTATAGCAACAAACTTGAAATCCATAACAAGAAACTTGAAATCCATAATAATAAATCAAAATTTACATTAACGTAAAATATAATGTACTTCAACATTGTTAACTAGAATAAAAAATAATAACACCTAAGATGGTGGACTCTGGGGTTGATTTTGTCATATCATATGCATCATAGCTTGAAGTTGATTTTAAAAGTCTTCATATTTTTTCTGATATGCTACTTCTCTCTCTGCTTCCCTTGCTTCAGTTTCGACTCTATTTTGGTATTCGGCGCTTACCCTTGAAAAATCCATCCAACTCTTATCCATTTCGTATTTCTGAATTATCAGTTTCAAATGTTAATTGCTAATATTATAGAGAATTAAGCAACTAAACATAAGAATTACATTTAATTTCACAATTGAGAACATATCACAACAAACCAAAACGCACAACCAATATATCAAATGATTATCAAATAAATTATGACAAAAACTAGTTATTTGTCGTGGCTCAAAATTAAATGTGTTGTGATAAATGAAAAACAAAATAAAATTATACTATTGGTCTGATGTGTGTAAACTAACTAGCATATCTCTCACATATTCTCTCCTCTTATCATTCCGAATAATTCATTTTTACATGAGGATGGAAAATGAAAATCCTCTCATTTTCTTTCCTACTAAGCACATTCAAAGTGCTGGATAAATATCACAAAGAATCTGTAAGTCCATATCTTGTTTGGAAAATGAAGAAACAAGAGAGAAAATATATTTATATAGCTAAAATTTTGTTTTTCTATAGCATCTATTAGATTTGTAACATTTATAACAGAATATTACTTCATACAAAATTTGTTTATTTTGTCAATATAGGTACCAAAGGGGTACCTTCATTGCTTTTCAAAAACCTCGTTGTTCTGTTTGTATTTTGTATCATAACCTAAGGTTAAACCTAGAATTGAAGTGCATTCTATGTCGTATGAATGAAACATTTAAAATTTTCAAGAAAAAAAAAACTCAACGAGAATTAAGAAGAAAATATGCATATATCTAGAACGTGCTAAAATGTGCCTAATTTCTCTTATAGTCATATGTATTACAGAATAACTCATGAATCAGTCTGATTCTAGATTTCTTAAAAATTAGTCCAAACTTTTTTACTGACGTCACTCTCATTTGCAATAAAGGTTGTTGACTCTATACTACTATAATCCTCTAATGTTCTCTCATACCCTGACTGAAGATGGCCATTTACACGAGCATTATGAAAGCAACATTAACATCCAGATTACCTTATAGAGTTTATCATGCTGGACTTTCTCCTCAGTTGACTAATGAAATGTTATAATGTGAAATTTAAACAACCGCCTGTTGAGAGTTACTGCACAGTAGATCCAAGAAGGTTGAGAAAGAAGGGAGAATATTGAGAGTTACTGCACAGAAGATCCATGCATGCTCCCATGCATGCTCGTGCATTAGATGGTTGAGATGATTCTAGAAATAGTCTAGAAGCTAGTTGGTTATAGGTTTGTTATTCTTAGCTGTATAACATAATGTTGTTAAGCAGTTTTTTAAGCATTGTAAAGGTTGCTATATAAAATGATGTACATGAAACGTGAGACTTGACTTCATCTTATTTGATTGAATAAAGAGTGTGCATGAATTCTTGAAGTTTTTCCTGTATTATTCAATATGGTATCATTCGCCAAACGGTCCTGACTTTGTTTTTTCTTCCGCTGCATAGAGTTCGTTGGCTCTATCGTGACTACTTCTGCCGACGTTTTTTGATCTGAATATGGATCTTCACCGTTCTTCCATAACAGTTGCACACAAACAAAGGGAGGGTTTTCAGGGTGTTGGCATGGTGAAGCCAAGGGAAGAGATGGTGGCCAACACATGTACAAAGGAAGGGCTAGTTCTAGAGAGAAAAACAAGGCCACCAGAGCAGTTGAATTGCCTGAGATGCAACTCAAAAAACACCAAATTTTGTTACTACAATAATTATAGCCTCACTCAGCCAAGATACTTCTGCAAGACTTGCCGGAGGTACTGGACCGGGGGTGGATCTTTAAGGAATGTGCCAGTCGGCGACGGTTCGAGAAAGAACAACAGATCCACGATGATATCGACACAGTCTTCAGCTTTAGCCAAAGTCTCTGATCTAAGCTCGACGAGCTTCCCTTACTTGTTGTTGTCTCAAAACCCTAAAGCACCACTCCACAAAAGCCAGGACCTTAACCTGGTTTTCTCGACTAACCAAGAGACTCATCATAGTTTGGGTTTGCCTCGTTATAATGACCAGCAAAACTATTACTCGCCTTCGGCTATGGAGCTCCTTAGGGTTAGGATGGTGTCATCAAAGGGGTTGAATTCTTTCGTTTCGGCACCGACCCACGACTCGACTGCGCTTTACTCGACTGGATTTTCCATGCAAGACTATAAACTGAAACTCAATTTTCTGATAGATGGAACTAAAAATAGGGCTGGTGTGGTCCATGGAGGTCAAGAGAATAATTGTGGAAGGGTTTTCTTCCCTTTTTAGAGAAATAAAACCGATTTCCAATCCTACTGGAGTTGATGATCGAAACAAGGAACAAAGTAATTCAGATGGATATTGGAATAATAATGGAGTGTTAGGTGGAGGATCACGTCTTGAAAGCTGATGGTATGGTCAATTGTTAAGAGTTTTTTTTAGTAGTTTGTTTACATTTAGAGTTTGAACGGAAAGAAGCATCGGTACTTTTGATTCAAGTGAACGGAATGAAGCATCGGTAATTTTGATTCAATTGAACAGAAAGAAGCATCGGCACTTTCGATTCAAGTCAAACGGAAGGAAGCATCGGCACTTTCGATTCAAGTGAACAGAAGGAAGCATATGCACTTTTGATTCAAGAAGAACGAAATGAAGCATCAACACTTTCGATTCAAGTGAACGGAAGGAAGCATCAGCACTTTCGATTCAAGTGTTCATCTTTTCATCAAGAAGGTTGAGAAAGCAGAGAGAATGTTGAGAGTTACTGCACAGCAGATCCAAAAAGGTTGAGAAAGCAGGGAGAATGTTGAGAGTTACTGTACAGTAGATCTATGCATGCTCCCATGCATGCTCGTGCATTGGATGGTTGAGATGATTCTAGAAATAGTCTAGAAGTTAGTTGGTTATAGGTTTGTTATTCTTAGTTGTATAACAGAATGTTGTTAAACATTTTTTTAAGCATTGTAAAGGTTTCTATATAAGATGATGTACAGGAAACATGAGACTTGACTTCATCTTCTTTGATTTAATAAAGAGTGTGCATGAATTCTTGAAGTTTTTCCTGCATTATTCAATACCGCCAAGCCTTCTATGACCGTATGAAGAATACGCAAATATCAATCCTTCAAATTGATTTCCACTTTTGCATGCATTAAAATTCATCTGTAACATATACAGTCATAATTTATATCCATAATATAACAAAATTATTCTTAACATTAATTCCGTAAAAGAATATAGTACTCTATTTCGGGGCTCCATTGTGAGTTGCCTGAAATAACATGATTAGGGACTCCCGTACGAGTCACTCTAATCCTTCTATGTTCCCGTACGAGTCATCCAAAATATCATGATTATGTTCTCTTGTGCGAGTCACTCTAATCCTTTGGGGTTTCTATGTGAGTCACTCAGAATAATATGATTAGGTGCTCCCGTGAAAGTTACTCTAATCTTTCAGGGCTCCCGTGCAAGTCACCCGAAATAGCATGATTAGATGCTCCAATGCGAGTCACTCTAATCTTCTGAGGCTTCCATGTGAGTCACTCAAAATAATATGATTAAGTACTCTATGCGAGTCATTATAATCCTTCAGGGTCCATGTGAGTAACTTGGAATAGCATAATTGGGTGCTCCAATTTTATTTTATTTATACTATTATCGTATCATTCTTACATCCTCTAGTATTCTACCGTCTTAGTTTAATCCAAGTATTAACTATTCAGCTCCTAAAGATTTGTAATTTCAAACCAATTGGTATTGGTACTGGGAAGAGAGTATCGATACTACACCACCCAAGTATCAACATTAGGGATAATACCAATATCAAAATAGCTTACTGGAATTTCAACATTTTTCACGATACTATAGAGTATCGATATTGTTAGTATTGGTATCGATACTCTCTCATTGGAATTGATTCTAAATATAATAATATTGATACCATCTGGATATTTTCTACTTTGATTTTTGGAATGCTCGATGGTACAAATATTGTTCTAACAATATCGGTACTGCAATCTAGATTTTTGTTTCCATGAAGTTTTTGAACATTCACCAACCACTTATAAATAAATCCTAAGATTCTAGTATCATAGAAAGTACTTAATCTAACTTACCACTACTCATTTACAACTATATGAAGTCACAAAGAATAAATGTCCATTACATTCTTAACAAAGTAGCTATGGTGAGATTACCCTTCTTCAACCTTCAAGCTTTCTTCTTGCCTTTTGATTGAGAATATCCTTCAACTTCGTTCTCTAAAGTAGAAATTATTAGTTCCAACCCTAAAGGAAAAAATATTAACAAGTATAAAACTATATTTTTAACTTGTTTCCCTTATACAAAAGAAAGCTCAATGATACTTAACCACCCTAATACTTTCTGGACTATTTTCAAAAGAAATCACTAATCTTTTTTACCTTGTCCAAGTTCTTGAAACTCCTAATAATTCCGAGGAAGAGTTAGAGAGGGAAAAAGTTAGCCTGAGAAAAATATAGAATTACTAGTCCTCTCCTTCTTTCTTTCTAACCCACGTATGCTCTCCCAATTAATGGGACAAGGCTAGATTTTTCTATTCAAATGGGGAAATAACAGTACTAGTCCTTTCCTTTTTATAAGATTACCAAAACTGACTTTTGGGCTTTCTGTCTAGGTTTCTCTAACTAATATAAATTCTTACTAGGTCCAACACTTTTAAATCTACTCCTTTATTCAGATAAAAGTCCAAATATGGATTCAGATCTTTTCTCGGTCTTACAAATCTAATGATTAAAAGATAATATTTGTTCACTCTTAATTATTGATATATAACACAGATTTTTTTTAACGATGGCAACTAAATTTCATTAATAATTGAAGGAATCAAAATTACAATATATCTAAATATAGAGAAAAAATTGGAGACGATAGTCATCAAAATACTCGTACAAAAGTAAAATAGTAAACCTAAAGATATGAAGAAATATAAAACCTTCTATTAAGAATTATGACCAAATCAAAACCCAATGACCTTCATAAAATCTCTACGAAGTGATAAAGGAGTGGAGAGCAAACTAAACAATTCAGCAGGTTGTTTCGCCACACAATTATGATTACATCGGCAAACAACATTTAACTAAAAGAGAGGATTTGACTATACGTGATCACCGACAAACCAATAAGAAAATAAATGTCGTAATGGTTTCTGTGAGAACCAAAATGACTGCAAAGGTATGCGAAAAATGTACCAAAACCCATAAGGATTGTCCAAAAGAGCAGAGAAAACGCGTGCGACAAGTGTATAGAAAAATGTGTTATATGGACATAGATTCTTATTCATAATTAAAAAGACTCAAGAAAAAGAAAGAAAATAAAGGACATAGTATAAAAACAAGATAACTAATAATCCCCTACGGTCGGCAACCAATTAAGATTGGTGTCGCCACCAGTTAAATAAAAATCATAAAAAAGAGAAGAAGACAATATAAAAATATTGAGAAAAAATTAAGATAAAAAATATTTTACAATATTTTAAAATCGTTGACTGATAACACATAAATCTTACGATAAAAAATTTACACAATCAAATATATGAAACTCCTTAATTAAGTAGACGTACATTATGTTTATATAATATATAATTGTATTGTCAAAACTTAAATTAGAATTGAGGTATGACTTGATTTATTGCCCTCTTCACCTCCATAATGCTTACTTTCTTGCCGTTCAAATTATCCTTCACCTGCCATTCATTACATTGAATTAAAAACCCACAATTATCTTTCTAATTAGTAATTCATTATTAATTAACGTACCTTGGCTCTTAACTCAGCTACAAACAAGCCATTGGTCAAAGAAGACTGAACCGCCGTTATCTCAATCCGCAGCTTTTCCCTCAACATGTGCATTATATCAAGCAACAACCCTTCCCTGTACCCGCACTGCAACTCCAGCAACGCATCGCTTTCTATTATCGACACTTCAACTGACGTTTCCACTGTCTTCGGCTTTGCTCCACTTTCCACAACCCTCATCTTCTTTTTATCCGGCCCCATTGATCGTGTAGTTACCCCACTCCTCTGATTTCCCAGCACCGAATCCGCCGATCTCGACCGTTCATTATCGGCTTCCATTTCCCTGTTACGTGTTTCCAGCTCTTGGATCTTTTTACGTAACTGTTTCACGTACTCAATGGTGTCCCCCAGTATGGAAGCTTTGTCCATTTTGGTAACAAAAGGAACCAACGACCTTAGTACGATGAACCGCTCGTTGAGCTTCTCGCGTCTCCGCCTCTCCGCTAACACGTGGTTGGCGCTTGGCTCCTCCTGAGGGGTCCCCTTTCGGAACCGGGCGGCGGAGGCTGCGTCGGAGTCGCGTAACTTGGGGGAGTTCTCGTCGCGGTATTTGGTATGGAGGAATGGTACGGTGAATAGAATGTACTTGAGGAGCCACTGGGAAGTGCCTTCGACGACGGCCGAATGGAGGTGGTGGTCTGAACGGGATGTCCAATTGGTAAATGCTGATTGGATGGTGGAGTAGGTGGCGGCGTAGCCGGTTGACGGTGACTCCGCCCAGCGGGTTGGTTGGGCTTGGAGGATGGTGTAGACTGTCTGAGAATAGTGCGTATCTTCTAATGACAGTTCATCCAATGGATGGGTCCCTACAAAATTCTCCAAAACCGATTTCTAAAATAAAGGGTAAATTAGATATTTAGAATCTCAACTATCATTTTTTGTTCTTTTTCATTATTCATCTATTTCTTTTTCTTTTAAATTATACTTAAATTTTGGTTTTAAATGAAACGCATACTTGCTGAATTCTTATTAACAATCTAATTGAATCAAGAATTTATGATATTACCTGTTGAAGGTGGTTGAAGGCTAGTGCAGGAGGGTTCTTGTAGCATTTGCCACCTCCGATTTGACTCACCTTGCAGCTGATGGTCGGTGGGGTTCCCGCTTTGACTCACTGCCAGCATATGGAAATCTGAGTCCAAGTTATTCGATGCGTCGTCTGGTGAACCTAGCTTGATATCTTCTGACATTTCCAACTGCATTAGCTCACTCGGTTCGTCCGCCACCGCTGCTGGTACTGCTTGAATGTTTTGCGTCGTGACTTGGAGGGTATTTCTACCGGTTTCGGCCGAGTAAGATTCAGGTTCTTCATCTTCGTCTTCTTCATCGTCGTCATCGGCATTCTCGTCATTTTCTTGGGTAGCGTTTAACAGCGGGTCTGCGGTGGAGCATAAGGGACGAACGGAAGGGGAATGGAAGCGAGTCTGGTCCGAGGAGGCGGCGGGGTTTGAGGTGGAGTGTTCGGAGAGAGCCGGTTTTGGTGGCTGAGGGGTTGTAGTTTGACCATCGTTGAGCAAAGTCTTGACATGTTGTACCAACCCTAAATCTTCTTGGATCTGAAATAGAATTAAATACT